CTATTCTTAGTATCTGGTATGTTCGTGTGTGCTTGCAAGCAAGCGTGGCAGCGGTTGTACATAGAACGCACACGCCTCAGAAGGAAATTCTAGTAATCAGTTCCAGTCACATGTAAGAGCAGCTTTCATCTGTTGTGTATTAGCTGCAAGCCCTTGCCTTTAGACTGACTCAAACATATGTTCTATAGGAAAGAGGTCTCGTAAAAAGGCAGGTAAATCAATTGTCAAAATATCTATTGCTGCATCTGCGTAATGGTAATAGTAATGGTAATTTCAGCTTCATAGCAAACGGGTCGCCCCATAGTTGCTCCGCTCCTGTGCCAACAAAAAACACACAGAATGTTCATCACCGTCACTTGTGAGGTCTCGTAAAAAGGCAGGTAAATCAATTGTCAAAATATCTATTGCTGCATCTGCGTAATGGTAATAGTAATGGTAATTTCAGCTTCATAGCAAACGGGTCGCCCCATAGTTGCTCCGCTCCTGTGCCAACAAAAAACACACAGAATGTTCATCACCGTCACTTGTGGAGAGATTGACAGAATGCTGTTTCAGTATATGCACTAGCATATACACGCATTAAAAGCATACTGTGGCCATCAGAAGTGCTAACACAAACAGTCCGACACAAAAAATGCAGTTCCTTATCGACGGTAGCAGAGGTAACCAACAAATCAGTAGCTGAACACGCAATCAATTATAATCACATAAGAGCACCACCAATATTGCGACGACATGCCACGCGCCATTTTCTGAATCTACAATTCACAACACCACGTTGGTCACAGTCGGAAAACATTCCAAATAAAATCCGCAGCTCACAGGTTCGCACCATGCACTCAACTCAGTAGCTGGCTGACAAAACTATATCCTTTCAGTCTACAAATAGAGCAAAAATGCAACGGCCACCGTCTGGTAGAAGCAAAAACTTTGCCACGACTCAAAACAGTGACCCTGCCTAACGTCAATTTTGCCCGGACAGAAGATCTGCGTAATGAGTGCTATGGCAACCCTGCTAGAGAAGCCCTAAGTCTGTTTAATTTCTGGACGCATGAGCGATCATTAAACTCAGAAGCTTATCTTGATATGTCAAAGTATTAACGTTTACATGGAAGACGTGAAGAGGCCAGCGATGGTGACAAGTGAATGCTTACCATGTGTGAATACTGTTAACCCCAAATCGGTTGTGCAAAACACTCTCCACCCTGTCGCAAAATCTGCCTACCTCCTTCAGCATAGGATAGGTTCAATCTGCTATCGTCTGTGAATAAGACAACATTCCGCTGGAATCCAGTCTGTCTGACATATTGCGCTGTCTATCAGAGGCGCTGCTAACGATGTATGTGAGCCAAATTTGTCCCAACGTAAGGTCATCTTGTAATAAGGCCTGTATCTCTGGGTCTTCGCATGATGACCGCTATTCGAGAGACTTGCGTCTCACGTCTACCCAATATTGATGTTGCTTTTCGATTTGTCCGAAGAAAACGATTCTTTAGGTGACTAAGCACAATATAACGATCTTGTGAAGGGGTAGTAACTCGTAGCTGGCCACCTCGTAACGTTAATTGAGAAGTACAATAGTGGCAATTCATTCTTTTGGCAATGACCCGCGAGCATTCTGGTCATAACATATCAATCGTTTTGAGATATCATGTTATTACAGACGACGCCACTGCACATTAGGCATTCACATGCGTGCTCATCCTCCGATTCAGCCGCCATTCCAAGGTGCCTCTACTGTTTGTTCCCACGAGAATTTGGTTAAAGTGTCTCCTATCTTGACATCGAAGACAGGATACACATATTTCACCAAGCTTTCAGAAAGTCATATTGACTATTACAATTCCATCCTAGCTTTTGCCGGGGGCCCTGAACGTTGCATTTTTTTGGCTGTTGTGGTTTTTCTAGGCAAGTTTACGTCCAATAGTTTGCCATTGCTTTCTGGAAGGTTGGCTTCTCGATACCACTGTCGAAACCAAGACAAGGTGCAAGGCCCGCAGCTGTGATCGAACCCGGCACCCCGGCATTACGAAGCGCATTGCCAACGCCTAAGCTAAGCCACAAACGCCGACTGAATATAGATGGGCTATAAATATGGCTTAACGGCTGAAAGGGGTTTCTAGGACCTCACCACGGATGATCCTCATCCGCATGGTGGCACTTTGTGTCATCGGGTGTTAATCGCTTGTGTGCTACTGGTGGCGTACAACAAGAGAGAGAGAGAGAGAGAGAGAGAGAGAGAGAGAGAGAGAGAGAGAGAGAGGGAGAGCGAGAGAGAGAGAGTCATGACATTGCAAGCACACGCAGGGGTGTTTCGTCTGAACGGTTTTTGTTTAAATGCCAAATATATTGGCAAAACACCTATCAATTTTCAGGGTTAGTCATAGCTGTTGGAATCGTGTTGCACGTGTAACTTTCATTATTTTTATGTAATCTGTACACAAACTCGTTGGTAGAATCGTGCACTTTGCATTCCAGCAGCCATTCACTCTTAAAAAACATGGGAAAATTCATTCTCACACTTTTACCCACTTTCTCGGCAACAATTGACTTTATATTATAGTGGTGCGTCCGTCTTGTTCATTATATTCTATAAATAATAAAAATATGTTGTCTGACAATTATTCTTGTTTCTTTAATGATTATCAATTGCAGTCATTTACGCATAAGCATATACGACCGCCGTACCAATAGCTCTAACTAGAGGGCAGGAGTTGCAAAATGGCCGATCGTGCGTCAAATAAAATTAGATAATATTGCTCCTTCTTGACATCACAGAAGTTTAATAAACGCATTTCGGTTTTCAGATACTGTTAACTATCTAACGTTTTAACTGAATATTTAATTGGTGTAGCCCAGACTTAACTTGTATATGTAAAATCATAAACAATAATAATAAGGTGTCAGTTAACCCTTGTATTTTGTACTGAACTAAGTTGATTGACTGTGTTGTCAGTGAGTTATAGTATAGAAATAGAAGCAGAATAACAAACACAAGTCAGTCGTCAAATAATAATATCCGAATTGTCAGTTGGCCCAACTCATATACTTATTGTTAACTGATTGATTAAGAACAAGGAACGCAGTTGCACGCGATATTCAGCTATGGAGAAGCCCTAAACAAAAAAGGGACAGGTTTTACATCAGGTAAAAAAGAAAAAAAAATTCGCTTTCAGGCAGAATTAACTAATCTATTACTAATAATATTAAATTTTAAAATAAATGGGCTATCCTCCGAATATTGGTCCCAAATTATCTAGGCCGGAAATATACCCTAACTGGGCCTCAGTGATATGTAAATTGTGGACCTCTTTCTGGCAACTATACTGCAGAAAAAGCTTCCGCCAATTTAAAGTCACTGCCGACAATTTTCCCCGCCCCCCTCCGCAGCTTAGGGGAATACTCTCAGAGGTGGCGGTAGTCGCCAGAAAGAGGTCCGCATTTTACAAATGACTGGGGCCCTGTTAGGGTATATTTCCGGCCTTAATAATTTGGGACCGTTATTCGGAGGATAGCCAATAAACTAAATTGATTGATAAATGTAAGAAAAGCTAGCAACAATAATATTTATTTATATTAAATATTAATAATTGTTGATTTATTATTAGGCTATCTTCTGAATAATGGTCCCAAATTATCTAGGCCGAAAATATACCCCAACAGGGCCTCAGTCACATGTAAATTGCGGACTTCCACCACCGCTGAGAGTATCTCCCATGCCGCTAAGTGCGGCGTGGAGGGGGCTAAACTAGATGGCTGGGACTCATGAACAAATAAAATGAAGGAAGCTGCAAGAGATGCGGTAACTGCTGCTTGTGAGTCCCAGCCATCTAGTTTAGCCCCAATCCACGCCGCACATAGCGGCGTGGAAGATACTCTCGACGATGGTGGTAGTCGCCAGAAATGGGCAATTTTAAGTCCCCGGAAGTCTGCAATTGACATGTGACTGAGGCCCTGTTAGGGTATATTTTCGACCTCGATAATTTGGGACCGTTATATTATTATATTAGGCTTGCAATACATCATGCAGCTAAATAAAATATTCTTAATCTTCTTGTATGTTTCTTTGAAAAATCTTCCTTCTTAGTTTTTTTGCGTTCTCCGGCTGTTACTCCAATGGAAGCTCTGGTTGCTTAGTCTTGTTCCAGAACTTGTTTCCTGTAGCCCTATATCTGTTTTATAGATCTGGCTAATTTGCATGCAAACTGTTAGTGTTCGTTCTTTGCTTCTCATACAGATGCACTCTGACTTCGATGGAAACCCCTAGTCATCTGTTATGACATGTTTCATATTAGAGAGGCAGTGGGTCGGTTCTTTTCCCCATAATGTGGTCCCGGAACCCACACAGTGAATTCAGTGTATCAGGCAGCCAACATTTACCCCTTAGAAGACAGACGGGCGAAAACAATTCTACATGTAGCGGGGTTTAATTCTTTTGCCCCCACAAATGGGCTCTCAGAACCCACAGAAGGAATTTACTCATCATATGTCACTGTGAGTTCTGCGGCCCTATTGTGGGAAAAACAGAAATAGACCCACTGCCTACCCAACAAGCATTCCGTAAGAATTGACCAATTTGAGGTTCCTTCGAAGTGCATCTGCCAGAGAGGCAAGGAACCACCAATCTGCATACATTAAAGTCAGATCTGTAAAACGGATGTGCAAGCAACGCTCAGGTTCTGGAACAAGACTTAAGTCCAGAGGTGGACAAACAACCAGAACCTTCCGGAGTTTACAGCCGGTGAACGCGAAGAAGACGACGACTCATCATAGGATCAGGCTAGTATCTTCCTCTTGCTTGTCTTGGACTGGCAGAATAGGAGGTAGAAATGGTCTATGCATATCATTTCCCTGCATTTGCTATTTGTTCATAATTTATTTACACATTTATTTCCAAGATGAAGCTATTGCACAATTTCAAAGTATGACAACTGAATAAATCTCTTGTTTTTTCCCAGAGTATTTTTACCTTGTGCTGTCAAGCTTATAATCACTTCACCATGTACGACACACCAGTAAGCCTACAGAGTTTTTGTGTGGACTTCATCTGTGAAAATTTGACTGCGTTATGTGAAGTGCAGCCGGCGGCAACAGCAGATTCGAAACAGATGAAGATGACTTTTAAAGATCCAGAGTCCTGTTTTCACGCGAACCTCTCTGATCAGTTGCTGTCAACTTTAAGTGAAAAGGGAAAGTTAAATGACGAGACTCTGTCACTGTTTGACCCAAATGTGACTGCGTTGCGTCGTGTAAGTATTCATAATGCCCCAGTAACTAGCCGTGGACTTCGCATACTTAAAGGTCATCGTATATCACAGTTGGAAGTCACAGGAATAAAAGATGTCACGGTCAACGACATTATCGGATGTTTAGGCGAGTGGACTCTGTCTAACCTTCGAATCCTCAACGTGAGCAAGAACACTTTCCTCAACAATTCAAAGTTCTGTGTCGTTGTTTCGCTTTCCAAGTTGAGGAATCTGCACACGTTAAATGTAAGTTTCACAGAGTTCAACCGACACGGGCTAGAAATTATAGCGGAAGATCTACCATGCCTTGAGGTTCTAGATATCTCCTGTACTGAAATAAATGATATCTCTCCACTTCGGAAGTGTAAAAATCGGTTGAAGTCGTTAAGTATGTACAATCTACAGTTGCACAGAAATTCTGATCCGATAGGTGTGGTCAGCGAACTTGTTCATCTGGTCCATCTAGATGTCTCCAATGATGCAACCCGTGAGTCCATCATCACATCGGTAGCCACGGAGCGTTTTCAAGTCCCAGAGTATTTGTCTAAATTTGATATCAATCCTAGTCTTATTTCTTTGGATGTGTCTGGCGGTAATGATGTTGCGCCTTGCGTGGTTGAGTAAGTATGGTTTCTTTCATATTTTAAAAGGTTTCTAAACTTATAGAAATGTCATGCATTTTCTTGGTCAGCGGGTTAGCTTGATGAGTGCATGTTTGGGGGGAGGCAGTAGGCAAAAATTATGCTGGCTTACTCATTTATTGTTTGCTGTCTCTTTTTTTGTTTGCGTGTGTGAGCATGCATGCCTGTGTTTGGATCTTTTTAAAACACACATTCACATTTGTTTTGTGTGTATGTTGACATTTGTACTATTTGAGTCTTTGTTAAAAGAGTTAACACATAACATATTTTTTTGTATAGAGGAAATTAAATTGAACACTTTGTAAAATCTGTCCTGCATGCCCAACAAGATGGTTAGAAATGTGATAACTGACGAAAAAATCTTTGAAAAAAGATGAAAAAGAATTTATTTTACACAGCGCTAAAAAATGTTTCACAGATTTTTTAACGTTGAAATTGTGTATATATATATATATATATATATATATATATATATATATATATATATATATATATAAGGGTAATCAATAAACACAGAGTAAAGCATTTCATGGAATACATTCTCCACAGACTAAAAATAACCCATGTAACCGGTTACTCGCGCTATTATCCTATGACCTCTATCAGCAGGATTTTAAAGGAAAATGTGACATCCGCTGGGCTTTTTAAAAAGCCATAAGGAGTCATAAAGACCCTATTTCCCCCCCCCCCCCCACATGATTTTTGACCTCTTAAACACTGCACAGACACTCAATAAACCAGCAGAATGTATTCTTTTCAAGAACAAGTCACTAGTGACAGACTGATATATTGGCATTTATGGGACTGTCACAATATTGGCATTTATGGGACTGTCACAGCTGGAAATGACTTCTCAGGGTGAAACGGTTGAAGCCAATTATTTCTACATTATAGGTATAGTGTTTTAAAATTTTGAGCCCAAGAATGAATGCAAAGGCAAGGGCTTATTCCCAGGCATGTTTATTATGTTGGCATGTGTTTGAATAATGGTGGTGTTGGGCTTAGTTAACTTACTATCAGAGTGGTCTAGTCTAGGTTCAATCCATCCTAATTAGGGATATTGTGCACCTCTGGGATTGACACTATTAATAAAATATAACCCACTGAGAACATGCCTTCTGATAGCGGAATTTCTTAACAACGTTTTGAACTGTCCCAATCAACACATCAGATTCTTTCTTTATTGAATGTATGTCTCAGCAACAGTTCATTTGTATTGCTACATAAGTTTTTTCTGTGGGCAATGATATGGGCTTGTCCTGACCATGGAAGATCTGTCGTGAACTCCATCCTTTCTGAAACATTCATGCTCTGTTTTTCACTGTTATCTTTAACACACTTTTGTTACCATGCACTGCCAGCATTCTAAAGTGAATGTCCACAGGTCAACATCCTTCAAAGGAAAGAAACTGAATCATCTGTCTTTGAACTTCCTCTGACAGATTTTGGGTCAACCTGGCGATTTTCTCAGCAGTCAGAAACAAAACCTATGCATTATAAACTTATGTATTATAAATAAACAAAATGACATGAAAGTTTCTGATGCGTTTACAGGTCATTTCTGGAAAGACATCCAAAACTAAATTTTCTTGGCTTGGCTCTAACTTCTATATCAGAGTACGAGATGTTCCAGCCTGAAAGCTGTTGGGTACGATTGCATCCAGACTTTAAGGTAGGTTTTTGTTTTCACATCTATACTATACAAGTGAATATCCATTAGTCTGCTTCTTTTTTCTTTGGCCGGTAGAGAGGTGGTTTTCCTGGCTGCAGTGTCTACGTTAGTTAATTGAGCTATTTGCAACAAGGTTTCTACTAATTTCTGATAATTAACACCGCCATCACTAAAAGTTAACATTTTCTGGAGTTCTTTCCTTTGAGTAACTACCTATTTGTCCTGGGATTGTCTCAGGAATAAATTAGTTTAAAAAAAAATATTTTGTGTAATCACCCTTTCAACTTGAAATCTGGACAGTTTCATTTTTTTTTTTTAGTGGTAAGAACCTCAGGTACATTTAGGAGCGTTGACTAAATATACCACAGCAGTGAAGAGACAAAGTTGAAATAAATTACTAACAATTGTTCTTTTATGATCCCGGGCGAAGCCGGGCAGTCAGCTCTAGTAACATAATATTTTGCTATAAAATACAGCTGCAGCTTTTCTTTATTACTAGTTTGAGCTTACAGCCTATAGCTCTTCTAGTGTATATAGCCAGTTCCAGAGAGTACAGAAAGAAATTGTTGCTGAAATTTTGCTGTAGATTGTTATGTCTCCAGGAAGGTTGATCCAGGCAGCAAATGCCTGGAGGAGTTCAGTGTGTCAAATCAAAGGTGTGAATATCGCATCCTTGTTGTAAATGGGCACAATTGTATTTACGTCTTTGGATTAATGCAGAAGAAGTTATTAGATGTTTGAATGTTGTTATTGTTGTGTTAATTGATGGTGACCATCTGGTGGCAGTGAGGAAGAGGAAGATGCTCCAAAAGGCAGACCCGGGTATTTCATCATCATCATCATGTCAGACACCGATACCCATCACATTGAACAGCAGGCCTCTTTATAACCAGAGTGCACCAGTATGGTTTGTTAATGGTTGAATAGGGCTTCTTTAATTTGCTCCTGTTTGATTCACATCCACATAGTCGTTTTGTTTTTTGAGTCATCTGGGTTTAAATTTTCAGGCTGCAATCCCAAAGAGAGGAAAAATCATCATCATTGTCCTTTTGTGCTGTTTATTTGTAACACATAGCTCAGAGTCATTGCCTCAGTTCTGTTCCATCTTATACAATCCTTTTGATGATATCGCCTAATCTAATCCAGTCCAGCACCTCTAGCCTCTCATCAATCTGTCTTCTGTTCAGTGTGTAACCGGATTATGAGCGTCTTATACAGTTCCATCTTCTCTTATAGTCTTCTTGTTTGAAATGTAACATCTCTTGGTCACATCTCTTGTAACAGATATAATTTTTCTTTGTGGCATCCTGTCTTTGTGATTCATGCTGTTTACTGTTTATTCACAGCTAATTAAAACTGTACCATTAACATTATGTTAACCTTTTTTTATTCCAAATATTTTCTTTCACTCTTACTTTAACATGATGTGTTATCTCTTAATACTTACTTATATTTTGGTTGGAGCATACTAATGAAATTTGGCTTCCTCAGCACCCACTGCCACTGTGCATCTTTGAAAGTAACACCCTAAAGTCATTTTAAGATAAATAAAGTTAGTAAAAAGTAAAGGACCTCTTTTACATTTTTGGCTTATCAGGCATACAATGCTATTTTCATAGACCAGTTGGCACTTGTTCAACATAAAGCTGATTGTTTTTAACTTCCTAAGACATTGTCCATTTTAGGCTGGGTTGGCCTGGGAGCCAAGTTTAGCAAAAACAAATCCGCCTCAGTGCAGATTCAAACCCAAGACATTCAAGACAGTAGTAACATTTTGCTTCACTTGTTTTTAAAATTCAGGTCTCAGGAGAGTCTACAGAAGCTCAAATTATGGAATCTCTTCGCCGATACCTCCCTCGTAGCGCTTACATGCAGAAGGCTTTGTTCAAACTGTTCAACTTGTCACAGGGTACTGAAAAGCCGCGGGAGGACATCATCAAGGTATCTTCATCTCATAGTCTATTCTGTGTGGTGTTGATAACCATGTCTATCGTCTGCGCCTGCAGTCTTCTGTCACGTGTACTGCTGATTTTGATCCAGATGTTTTTTCATGCCATGGTGCTACATTTATATCTTTTGTCTTGGTCACATGTCTTTCTTATTCTTCAGTTTTTAATTGTTTCTGTTGTCATGATGTTCTCCAGATTTCCTAAAATCAAACTTTCATCTTGTGTCTTGATCTCTCCTACTCTTTATTCCTCTTAACTGTTTCTGTTGTCATGATGTACTCCAGTTTTCCTAAAATCAAACTTACATCCTCTATCTTTATCTGCCCTTGTCTTTCTTCCTTTTTTTTTTTCTATTGTTCATAAGGTACTCCAGTTTTCCCTCTTTTTATGTGGAAAATGACTACTAATTTTCACATTTCATCCTTCTAAGGAAGAATGAGACAACCCCGCCATTGCAGGCTTGCAGAGCCCAGCACATGGGCATACCCTGTTGTACACCATGTTTCATTGTTTTGGTGAAATGTGGAAATGACTTTTGCAGTTAACTCTTGACTGGAAAAGTGTTTTATGAAGTCAGACTAAGCACAAAGAAACCCACAGGAAAATATCTGGAGATAAAAGAAATTACTTCTTCAGCATTCCAAGCCCTTGAGGTTCAATACTGCAGATGATATCATCTGCCTCCATTCACCTGTGTGATTGGCACCCTCTTTCCACTTGGTGACTCCAAGTGTTTGTACATTATCTCCATTGTCTTCTTGGTCAGCCTTGCAGTCTACTCCCATTCAGTTTCTATTCAACTCCCTTGTGTACATGAGAATGAAAAAAAAAATTATTTACTGTTTGTCGTTTGTCATAAATCCCTCCCCTAATAATAGGCACACATGCACACAAAAGTTCTTTTATTTAACATCTATAATCAATGGCAAAGGTGAAGGCATCAATTATATAAATGTTACAAAAAATTTTGTTTTAGAAAAAGTATTTTTACAGTAGAATTCAGTTTTAAATGGAGACATTGAGAATGCTGTCCAAAAAGGTTTTGGCGAAGCAAGAATTGATTATAAATAAGTAAATCCTTGTTCCTATCATTCTGTGTGGGAAAATATAATTTTTCTTTTTGGCGAATGATTAGCAGTGGATATATGTTTCAGTTCTTATATCATGTGATTAAAAGAGGGATAGGTTTAAGTTCTTGAATGATATGATGATGGGAAAGTAAGATAACATCCGTGTGATGCCCTACATAGGACTGGCTGCATAATGGTGAAAATACTTTCACTTATTCTCCCCCTTCTTCTGCATTTAAACTTGAAAGGACAGTTTCACTTATTCAGTTGACATAATCAAATACATGCTAAACATGATCATGAAAAATACTGAAGCTACAGTTACCATGACACAATCCTTGACCCGTTAGGGTCATGGAGGTGTATTGATGAAAGCACTAGCACACAAAACCTGCTATCTTTATTTTGAATAAGTGTATAATAACTTAGTCCTGTCCATTTTTTGATGTTGTCATTCCAGTTTCTAGCCCCGCCCCCCATGTTCCTTGAAGTACAGTCTTTGCAAACAAGCATGTCTCACCAACCAAGCTAGCTTGCGATGTTTCACCACTGCCAAGAGAGGCTCCTATGTCCTGCAAATTTGTATATTTTGTTTCTGACACATTTTTTAGTTTTATGTGAACACATTTAATAATGTGTAGCCTATATTTGTCAGTAAATATTGCAAATGAAAATGGGGTTTAGACCATGTTGTGTGTCTTCATTACTGTTTGGAGAGGGTACATGGAACAAACAAAAATTTAATCATCAAAAGCTCTATGCAAGTATCTTGAATTTTAAGAAACACTTGAGAACCCCTTTGAACAGCTTAACATAAAAAGGTTGGAAAAAAATGAAGATACTTTGGCTGCCTCAGACAGCATGACAGACTACTGAAAAACATAATGGAGGGAAGAGTTGATGGCAGGAGAGAGCATCGGTTATACAAATGTTTAGACAAAATCAAGATGTCAGTAGAATAATCTGGGTGAATTTGCAGCCTTGTTTCAAAGTATAGATCCAGTTTTGACAACCTTCAATGTGGAAATGGTACAAGACAGCAGTGATGATCACAGTTGTTTTTGTTGCAGGATTGTCTTTCATCTTATTTGAAAGCAAAGTGTGGCTTAGCAGTTAGTGAAATGGTTTCACAGTACAGCCCTTGGCATTTACCAGAGTTCGATTCCCATGGTGGGCTGTTTAGAAAAAGACCTTTCTCATGGTTTTGAGACAGTAGTATGAAAGTTGCACAGTGGAAGAGATTGCGGCCACTTAATCTTCCTATTTTTAAAAGTGGGGTCAACCTTCATTGTGGAGAATGGCATTTTGTAAAACTTTTTGTGTGAATTTGTACAGAAACAATAATTTCTCTAGACTGGCTGCATCTCAGTATTCTAAACTAATTATAAATGTCCTTGCCAACAGTTGGTGCTTCCAGCCATGAAGAGCCACCCCAAGATTCTGTCTGTGCAAATGGCTGCCACTGCCTGCTTATACAACTTGACCAGAGGTGAGGTTGGTATGAATATTCACCCAGTGCTGCTATCAAGATGTGTTGATTTAACCCTGACAGCAATGGAGAATTTTCCAAATCATCAGCAGGTAGGCTATTGGTTGTCATTCTTTCTTCTTCGTTGTTAAAAATATCAAGAGTGTTAGGTACGAAACATCGCAGTGCAGACAAACATGATGTTGTAATGATAGTTTAAAGATGGCCACTCACACTTTTGACATGAACCAAAGGGGAACAGTGGCACATTTATTCATTTTTTTTTAAATTAGTGAAGGGGTAAAATGAAATCTGTAGAAAGTCAACAGCAAATGATCGTTGGGTCAGATCCCCAGTTTCCACCGGAAGTAGTTAGGACAATCCTGCAGCTCATGCTTCGACTGGTTGTAATAACTTGTTGTTGTTTTAAAGTTTGTTTAGGTGGAAGAGCCTACTTCATTGCACCCAGTGTTATCCCATACTTTTGTCTGTCCATGACTGGTCAGGATTTAACTCGTACATGTGTATGAAAGTTATTCTGGTTGGTTATGTGTTTCTTTCGGAAAGGTAGCAAACTTTTGTTTTAGTATGTCTGTTCCTTTCAGAAAGGTAACTTTTGTTTTAGTGTGTCTGTTTCATTCAGAAAGGTAACTCTTGTTTTAATGTGTCTGTTTCATTCAGAAAGGTAACTTTTGTTTTAGTATGTCTGTTTCATTCAGAAATGTAACTTTTGTTTTAGTATGTCTGTTTCATTCAGAAAGGTAACTTTTGTTTTAGTGTGTCTGTTTCATTCAGAAAGGTAACTTTTGTTTTAGTATGTCTGTTTCATTCAGAAAGGTAACTTTTATTTTAGTGTGTCTGTTTCATTCAGGAAGGTAACTTTTGTTTTAGTATGTCTGTTTCATTCAGAAAGGTAATTTTTGTTTTAGTGTGTCTGTTTCATTCAAGAAGGTAACTTTTGTTTTAGTGTGTTTCATTCAGAAAGGTAACTTTTGTTTTAGTGTGTCTGTTTCATTCAGGAAGGTAACTTGTTTTAGTGTGTTTCATTCAGAAAGGTAACTTTTGTTTTAGTGTGTCTGTTTCATTCAGGAAGGTAACTTTTTTTTTAGTGTGTCTGTTTCATTCAGGAAGGTAACTTTTGTTTTAGTGTGTTTCATTCAGAAAGGTAACTTTTGTTTTAGTGTGTCTGTTTCATTCAGGAAGGTAACTTTTGTTTTAGTGTGTCTGTTTCATTCAGAAAGGTAACAGACTATTTTGTTTAGTATGTCTATTTCTTTCAGAAAGGTCATTTGAAATTATTTTAGTAAATTAATTTCAGTATTGCGTTACCTTGTCAAACCTGGACACTGATAATGAAAGACAAACATAAAAAAAAAAAAAAAACAGAAACGAAGTAGGATTAAAACATTACAATATCAAGAAAGAAGTTGAGATGGAGTCAGTGCTGAACTATATCAAGAGGCAGCAGATCAAATGGTTAGCACATGTGTCAAGACTACCACAAAATAGCACTGCTGAGAGCCCTGTAGGTAAGAGAAACTTTAAGGGATAATTTCAGCACTGAAGAACTAAAGTCTTGCAAAGAGTAACCAGTGTCACAGTTGGCCTGCTTATAGTCAGTGCAAAGAATAAAAGATATTGGTTGTAGTTTGTGTGCATCATACTTGGCTCTTTGTTGTTTGTTCCTGCTGAAATGCATGTTGGAAATGCTAATTCTTTATCTCTTCAGTTAAATGAGTTCTCAATTTCTTTTGCAGCTGCAGAAAAATGCTCTTTTGACAATCTGCAGTGACAGAATTTTGCAAGAAGTGGTATGTATTTTGTTTACATTTTTGTTAGCTTGTTGAAATAAAAAATGTCATTCTTTTCTGGGTACATTAAAATAATAATGAATGGGCAAAAAAAATGAAGACAAATCATGAGACAAAAATGAAAGACAAATCATGAGACAAAAATGAAAGACAAATCATGAGACAAAAATGAAAGACAAATCATGAGACAAAAATGAAAGACAAATCATGAGACAAAAATGACAGACAAATCATGAGACAAAAATGAAAGACAAATCATGAGACAAAAATGAAAGACAAATCATGAGACAAAAATGAAAGACAAATCATGAGACAAAAATGACAGAAAAATGGAACAAATTAAATGTTGACAGTCAAGGTGGTTTTGGTATGCTAGGAGAAGAAATTAATGTTGAAAACTTTTGGAAGGCTGGCAGACTTGATGGAAAAATGGTAAAGAGTGATGTTGATAGAGACCTGGGCACAGACTGTTACTGGTACCATCTGAATTTGAACTAAAAGGCTGTTGCTGAAGATGGCGACAGAGCGCTTATGTGTAGATCCCAGGTGATGTGAAATCAATTCTTAATTCAGATTAAGATACCTGGATAGCTTTTTTAACTGACATAATCTTATTTATAAAAAAAATCTTGTTCAAGGCTAGAGATCAGATGATATGGTGAACCATCACCAGCCTTGCTAAACTTCAGGAACAGGATGATAATTATATAAATGTCAATGTATGCACACATTTGTGTCATTATGAGTGTGTACATTATATGTATTTTCATTCACATGTAAATGCCTCCTTATTCAACATTAAATAAGAAATCTGGCTTATTTTTGTAACAACTTTTAAATAACGGAAAATGGGACATTGCATGGCAGTGTAAAACACTGCTGGATGGTTTGTGTATTATGACAGTTTATGGTTCAAGAAGAGAGAAAATCCTACAAATCTGCCATCCTTGAACTGTTAAGTCATTACTTGGATTTAACAATAAATACTAGAAACTGATTGTGGAAACAGCACCTCACACCAAAGTCATTGAGAAGTAGATCAGATGGTTTGATCATCTTGTTAGAGTGCAGTAACAACTACCAACACAGGTATCACACCTACATTGATCTGTAAGCGAATGAGCGAGTACCCAATGAGAACATGGACCAATGGCATTAAAGGCATTATGCATTCGTACAGAATGATTATGGTCAGTGCTGTCCATCTAGCACTGGATCGTAAGCTGTTCCTCCCCATGAAACTTTACAGCAAAAGTGGAAGTCGATAATGATGACCAGCAGCTCATTTATATCTGCTTAAAGATTTGAATAAATTTGCTTTGCTTAGTTTTGCAACATCGGCTGTAGAAATGCCTATATCCATGTTTTGCAGAATTTTGATCGGTTCCGCTGTTCACGGCTGGTAATGGAATGCATGTGCCAATTTGATGATGCTTCCATGAACAGAATGTCAGTGGCGATTTGCTCAATATTGGCTGCCAAGGTATTTCAGCTGGTTGTTGTTAATCTTGTAAATTAAAAAAGTATTTTGTCTCTACCAATTCTGTGATTCTGTCTTAGAATGTTTAACACAATTAGATGCTGCATTCTTGTTCCTCAGTGTTCATTTCTGTCGGAAAGATGACTAGCTGACTAGTTCTTCTGCTTATTTGGGTTGATTTAAAAAAATCTTATGTCTGTCAGAAAGATGACTAGCTGACTAGTTCTTCTGCTTATTTGGGTTGATTAAAAAAAATCTTATGTCTGTCAGAAAGATGATTAGTTCTTCCCATTTGTGTTAATGTTTTTCATGGTATGTCTGTTAGAAGTATGACTAGCTGATTAGTTCTGCTTCTTGTTTGGATTGATTTTTTTAAGGTAATTAAAATTAATAGAAAAGATGACTGCCTCCACTTGTTTGGGTTGAGTTTTTGGTTCATGGTGTGTGCCATGGTGACTAATTCTACTTCTCATTTTAGTTGACTTTTTGATGGAATGTCTATCAGAATGACAGGCTCTACTTGTTTGGGTGAATATTTTTTGTTCATGGTATGTCTTTCAGAAATATGACTAGCTGACTAGTTCTACTTCTTGTTTGTGTGTGTCCATCAGACAGAGACAGTCTTAATCTTTTTTTGTATCACATTATGAGAAGAGAAAAACTTGAGTGTATTGTTACAAATGGACACAATTATTTAAAGAGAGAGAAAGACACTGAGAGAAGATTCTTGACCCCCTTTTGTCATTGAATTGTAGATGTGAAGCCTGATTGTCTACTCCGATCGGAAAAATGGTGATCATGACAGATTCTAGTGTCATTGATCATACTGTATTTGATGTCAGGATGAAGTTCATCAATCTTTTCACCTGTTGTAGCAGCAGCACCATGCTGTGTCTGCCAGCACTTACTCTTATAGCCTGTAAGCTTTGTATTAGGGTGTGGAAGTCCATGTCTGTGTAGACTTTCCACTGTAGGGGTTGCTGTGTAGGTGGTATAGGTTGTTGAAATGTTTTTAAATCAATTCATATGTGGCTGTCTGGCTTAGAGGTTTAGTGAAATGGTTTCACAATGAACCATTTATTTTGTACCAGGGTCATATCCATGGTGGGCAGTTTAGAAAAACTCTGTTCTTAAAGCTTTTCACACAGTCGTAGAAAAGCTGCATCATGGAAGATATTGGGGCCACATCACATAGTATTCCAAAAGCCACAGTAGATGCACTACTGCATGTCATAGGAAGGGACTAAGGGAATTTCTTTCCAAGTCTGAATGTATCTGCCAGAGAGGCAAGAAACCAACAGTCTGTATACACCAAAGTCCCGGAGTGAACACATAACCAGAACTTTTTGCCAGATTTTGCAGTTGATGAGCGCTAAGAAAAAAATTAATAAATATGCCTCACCGGGCAGAAAGAGCCAATATTTTATTTTATCCTGTTCTGACATCTTTTGCTTTTTTTTATCCTGTAAATTACATCTTTTGCTTTTATTTTATCCTATTAACTGACATCTTTTGCTTTTTTTATCCTGTTAACAGACATCTTTTGCTTTTATTTTATCCTGTTAACTGACATCTTTTGCTTTTATTTTATCCTGTTAACTGACATCTTTTGCTTTTATTTTATCCTGTTAAATGACATCTTTTGCTTTTATTTTATCCTGTTAGCTGACATCTTTTGCTTTTATTTTATCCTGTTAACTGACATCTTTTGCTTTTATTTTATCCTGTTGACTGACATCTTTTGCTTTTATTTTATCCTGTTAACTGACATCTTTTGCTTTGTTTTATCCTGTTAACTGACATGGTTTGTTTATTTTTCCCTGTTAACTGACGTGATTTGTATATTTTATCCTGTTGACAAATTTGTTTTCTTATTTTATCCTGTTAACTGTCGTCTTTCATCTTTTGCTCATCTGCGGGTTGTTTTGTTTTTAGATTTCATATATGGGATGATATATGTAACGTATGTTCTACTTGACAGATATCAACTGAGCAGACGACAATCCTTGGTGCCAAAGCTCGCTACATGAAGAAGTTGTTGATGCTGGTAGAGGAGAGACTGATGAACCATGAGCTGGACATCACTCTCAGGTTTACCTTGAGTGCTCTGTGGAACCTTACAGGTGTGTGTACATTCATGTATATATCATTTAAATAAAAAATTATGCTAGTAATGTAGAAGTAGTTAGTTAGTTGGGTATCCTTAACATGATTTTGCAGAATCAACATTTTTTGGCTGTTTGATTTTACTGGACAGTTTTACATTTAGTAGTATTTTACTGGACAGTTTTACATTTAGTCGTTTGCCGTTTCCTCCTGAACTGTTGGCTGTCGATACCACTATCGAAATCAGCACAGGACTTTCTACTGCCAAATCGCCCCAAATTGGAATCAGAACCGGCACACTTAGACAGCGCCCAAGCCACAGATGCAGAAGTAGGTGTGGAATCATTCTCAGCTCTCCACTCAATTCAGCTGTCCTGAAGTTAACGTTGAGAAGGTCAGCTTTATTTAACAGGGTTTTATTCCATATAGCTCAGTCTGTTGCCACAAAATGGCTAGACACCTGCTGAGGTTATTACACAAACTCTGTAGCTCCAGTGATGGTCTCCAGGGATCTCTGCTAACAACTGCACTTGTTAACTGAAAAGTGCATCTGTGAAAAGTACCTCGAAGATGAACTGGGTGGCACGTCTGAAACAGACCCCAGGATGAACTGACTGGTACATTTGTGAAACAGACCCCAGGATGAACTGACTGGTACATTTGTGAACCAGACCCCAGGATGAACTGACTGGTACATTTGTGAACCAGACCCCAGGATGAACTGACTGGTACATTTGTGAAACAGACCCCAGGATGAACTGACTGGTACATTTGTGAACCAGACCCCAGGATGAACTGACTGGTACATTTGTGAAACAGACCCCAGGATGAACTGACTGGTACATTTGTGAAACAAACCCCAGGATGAACTGACTGGTACATTTGTGAAACAAACCCCAGGATGAACTGACTGGTACATTTGTGAAACAAACCCCAGGATGAACTGACGGGTACATCTGTGAAGCGGACCCCAAGGATGAACTGACTGGTACATCTGTGAAACGGACCCCTAGGATGAACTGAGTGGTACATCTGTGAAACAAACCCCACGATGAACTGACTGGTACATCTGTGAAACAAACCCCAGGATGAACTGACTGGTACATCTGTGAAACAAACCCCACGATGAACTGACTGGTACATCTGTGAAACGGACCCCAAGGATGAACTGACTGGTACATCTGTGAAACGGACCCCAAGGATGAACTGACTGGTACATCTGTGAAACGGACCCCAAGGATGAACTGACTGGTATATCTGTGAAACGGACCCCAAGGATGAACTGACTGGTACATCTGTGAAATGAACCCCCCAGGGTAAACTGAATATCACATCTGTGAAACAAACCCCAGGGTAAACCGAATTTCACATCTGTAAACAAACCCCAGGGTGAAATGACTGACACATCTATGAAACGAACACCCAGGATGTAGTGCAAAGCTGACATTTGCTCTTTCCCAGGCTGGGTTATTGAGGAGAGAAAGCAACATTAGACATCATTGTCATTATTTGTTGTCTGTATGTCCACAGATGAAGCACCATCAACTTGCAATGTGTTCCTGACTGAGGGAGGTCTGGAGCTGTTCATGAAGTTGCTGCAGCTGACAGACGGGGAGGAGACAGATAACCATGTCCAAGTTGAAACCAAGATTCTTGGCTTACTGGTAATTTTATCTTGATATTTTGATGCTGGTAGATATCTTGTCTCCCTGTACACAGGTGAAACAGTGTTTGAAAAATGAATTAAATCACAATAAAGTTGGGAAAGCACAATAAAAAATATTTAAAAAACATCCAAAACAAAAGAAGTAATAATAGTATGCATAGTATTCTTTTAGTATTCACTACGAGTTTTCTTAGTTAGTGGCTGAAAAAAGCTTGCAGATTCATGTATTTACTATCTTCAAATAAACACATTTTATGTAAAGTAAATTCTTCAGTTATTTGTAATCACATTTAATTTGGACTTTTCTTCAGAACAACATAGCAGAAGTGAAAGCTTTACGATACAAGTTGATGAGGGAGGATTTCATCATGCTTATCAAGTTAGTCATGTTTTTGGACATATTGATTAACCATTTCATTGTCTGTGCTCCCTTCATTTCACCACAGCATGCAGCATGAGATAGTCTCTACTTATTTTTCTCTATGTAACTTGAAGTATATAGACCTATATTTTATAGACCAATCCGGGCAGGATGGGTGATGTGGTCAGCATCACGCTGGCTGCCTTTACTTCCCCGGACTGCACCCGGTACCCACTCACGGCTGGGTCAACCTGGGAGCCAAGGTCATTTCTGGAGAAAAAAAAAGTCCAGCTCCACCAGGGAGCGAACCCAAGACCTTCCGATCCACGGCAAGCGTCTAGCTATGGTGACTCCCAAATATTTCTCTATGGCAGATGCTAAATGTAACAGATAGAGACATGATCAGAAAGGATAATATCAGGAAACTAATGTGCATGGAACCGTGCCAAATTGTTTCGAAAGTCAACGGGTCAAATGGTTTGAACATGTGTCAAAATTACTAAAAGATAGTACATCATAGAGAGCCCTGTCACTTAGACACAACAGAAGCAGGGCTATAGATCGGTTATATAAGTGATGGATGGGTGGAATACTTGAGGCTGTGAATGCCAGTCTCTACTTTGCACATGACCTGACTTGTCACCAGATGCTTCAGGAACTGATGTGGAAAAGCAGCAGAACAGGACCAGAGAAACGAAGAACAAAGAGATGTATAATTTAAATGTTTTCACTCTGATCATAAATGTTAATGTAACCTCTGCCCAGCAATTTCAGCCGCTTTCTTACTAATGCAGTACAGTTTTGTCAGAATGTTAATTGCATACATATTACAAGCAGGAGAATATATAAACTCGCAAACATGAAATGATAGAAGACAGCAAAATTCAGAAGGACTGTGGTTGGTAACGTTCAAAATAGTTGCTTTCATGGTGATTACTTCATAATAATATTTTATGATAAGCATATTCTGAGGATATTTAGCTTCAAAATCCCCCTGACTCCCTTTTCCCTCCCTAGGACAGTAAGGTACATCAAGGTAACAGTTGGTGTTGCTGTATGGTCTGCCCTTCCACCTGTTTTTGTCCCCTCTGTGCTGCTACTGAAATTTGACCACCCTGAAATTGAAAAATCTTTATTGAGATATCAAGCCAACAAGGGCGGGTCCCATATACCTCCCTTTCAGTCCCTAAAGCAGTTATAATTGGGTCACCTGTAATGGGTAATGGGTACACCAACCAGAGGTTTAACCTGCAGCCGTGTGCGGGTAAGGTTATTTTTGGGGGAACATCTGTATGGTCTCAAATTATAACCATTTTATTCGGTTGAACAGGGTATCTTGTATTTGCTTCTGTTGGATTGACATCCAAAATATGATGCTGACCTAATATCTAATGGTTTATGTTAGACTGCAAGTAATATATCTATTTTTAATCTCTCCTTTAAGCCTGCTACCTAAAAGTTTGACATCATATTTTGGATGTCAGTTTAACCAAAACAAATACAGGATACCCTGTTCAAGACATACTCAGGAGGAGATCGGAGCACCTATGGTCATGGCCGATGTGCGATTATGATCTTTAAATGAACAATGAACACATCTGATCTTTCAAAAACCTCGATAGTTCTATTTAAGCTCTCTCATCTGATGATTATGATTGACTGGGCTGGCTGGCATAGCCAGTTTCTCTGCAGATCTCAGTTCCTGGAGTTGTGATGACATTCCGTTGATGACATTCCTCCATGTTTTCAGCTTTGCCATCCAGCATAATTTTCTCTTGTTCTGCCTCTGCCTCTTCTGCAATCACAAATCCTTCCAGTTTTTCTTTTTTTCTTATCTGTATCTTCTTCATGTTGACACATAAAGCATTCACAAGTGATCTCCTTTGCTGCTGTTCTACTACATGGTACCTTTTGTCAGTCAACTCCATCCCCTTTCTAGTCTTTCTCCAGGTTTTCATAGGTCTTTTTTCCATCTGCTGTCTTACCTTTTTTGTTTAACTTGTAGTTGCATATAATATTCTAGGTTCCTCCCTCCCCCTTTTCCATACAGTAGCTGGCTCTCAAAATATTTTTTTTTAAACAGTAGTAAAAGTATTTATTGAAGAAGTTGAATTTACCATATACACTCAGTTACCTTTCAGGAGTCTCAGTGTTACTGATGCCTTTCATGAACACCAGAAATTGTCAAGACTATTGTGACAGTATTGTTTTTGAAAGCTGATTATCTATGAATGATTGCCCATTTGATTGTGATATAGAGACTTTTGTGAACTTTTGTTACAGACAAATGCTGCATGGACAGCACATTGATGTGAGTTACTTTGCTGCTGGCATTTTAGCCCACCTGTGCAGTGATGGGGAGGATGCTTGGAGGCACATTGCGGGGCTGGACAGGTGTGAGATCCTAGATGATTTGGTAGGTTCTTCTTATGTTGTTGGTTATTGATTTGCTGTGTTCACGAACCCAGTCAGTATGCTGTTTTCAGATAGTGTTTCCCTGTTCAATTAAAAAAAAAAAGCCTGCATAGCTACTGAAAGGATCATAATTTTGACATTGAAAGTCTGTATTTAATTAAATTGTTTAGATTGCCCACAAGAATACTTTAGGTTCAACCACTCAGTTGACAGTTCTTTTACATCTGGATCATCAATAGTTTTTAGGCATACTAGCTGTCTCATTAACTAATAAAAATGTGCCATCGAATAACTATCCTTTTTAAAAAAAATGTATAGGGACAGGACATTCAGGATATATGTCTAGACAACTACTGCTCTCATATGTTGTGGGCGCATCCTGAGTAGAAACAAGTAGAGCACTAAAATTGCTCTGAAATAGAGGGATTGAGGAAATGAGAATGTCCAGGAGAAACCCTTAAAAAAAAACATTGACTGGAGAAGCCAGAGATGCAAGACTGGATTCCATCCATGATTTGAAAGTGATTGCAAGGATATAACGGAATTGAGGAATACATTGTTTAGTGCAGTCAGTTGTCAAGTTTAGATTATTATGAATTTGAGATAATTTTGAATCAAACTTTTTTTCATAAACTGTTGATGTATTGTTATGATATAATAATAGTAATAGATACCTTAGTTGGCTGCTGCTCTGGGAGGTAAGCTCTTCTGATCTGACATCTTCAACAGCATTGTTTGTTCCATATATATATAACCTTTCCATGGGAATTAACAAGGCAGACTGAAAGACGGGTCACGCTGCATATCAAAACATGGTCTCTAGAATACAGCCAAGGCCTTGTGCCATGGAGAGGACTGGACTGTGATTGCTATGCCTCCTTGTACCTGCTCATTAACACTATCACTTGGAAAGATAGGAACCTGTCAGTAACAACAATAATAATAGTTGATTAAACTGTTGTTGATTTTTGTGACTGTATTAATGCAGACAGTTGTTTTGTTGCCCACAGAGTGATGTGGTTGCAAGTTGGGATCAACCAAAGGCAGAAATGGTGGCCTACAGGTATGTACCTTTTTGTTTCCAACAACTAAGTACAGGGCTCTTTTCCACACCCTTAGACATATGGATTGCGGCCAACCTTAACTGTGCCTTAACTTCACTTAAGTTTTGAGAGTGTGGCAAATTTGCCTAAAAAAGGTCCAATCCCTATCACTTCCAAGAAAATACACTGGAAGACAAAACACCACACTACTGGATCACAAATCACAGGAGTACATTTAAGAACTGACCCAGATTGGTCACAAACTGTGTTAAACAAAAATACAACACTGAACAACCTCCTGGTCAAGATTATCAGCAAATTAAAAATTGAACAGAGAGAAATCCCGTGACGAGACTTAAGATTGTATGCAGGTATGTGTCTGTCACATAATGCTGGTGTCGTGTCAAGTAGTTTTAGTGTTGAGATGTTGGCTCGCAATGGTCTAGCTCCAGTGAACATCCAACCTACTTCACTGGTGAGGCGACTCAAATTATAGCACTACAGAATCAATAAACATTCCTAGGCGCAGCTTGGACTGGCTTCCCCACTACTTTTAAGCCCCATGACTAGATAGTAACTGAAGGTACTGGTGATCCCACTTATCTGTCCAGCATGTCCTGTTTAGTTGAATTGAGGTATCTTCCCACATCGGGCAGTGTAGGTTTGAAGTCTTGTGAATTTCCTCATATTGGTTATGGCTCAGCACTCACCAGAATTAACTGAAATATTATTGTCTATTAAAAATCACTTCTGAAATTGTCCTACTGTTCACTGGTATCTCACGGAAAATGGATCTGTGTTAACTGTTAACATTTACACTTTATGCCACCCTCTGGTCGTGGCAGTTGTTGGCAACCCTCACATAAAAGACTTCTGGGTTGTAGATACAAGCTGATGGTGACCATCACAGGACCACAGACAGTTGTTGACTATGGAGCCACTGACATAGTGCATGGTCAGGAAAGGGTAGTTCGCTGAGAATCCCTCCTCCTGTAATCTGGATGTGGGTTACACTGGATAGTGCTAGGATACTGATCGTCAACTTGGCCTCCAGATATTACTAACATTCTGTATCAAATAGGAAATCCAGAGTTAGCAATCATAAAACACTCTTACCATTTTCACCACCCATATATATATCCACATAGATGCTCAGATGTCTGTGCTAGGTTTTTATAGACTGCATAAGTTTGTAACAATCTCAGGATCGCCAGGTCCCATTGCTTCACATAACCACCTCTGTCCTACACTCAGCAGCAGGGCCGAATGTATGATATTAATAATCTACAGTGTACTTATCCATACTCATGGACGCTCCCGGGTGAATAAGTGATTCAGGTGACCGACGGTCAGCCTATGGATCATGCTGATATTATCAATTCCCTCAGAGAAATGGGAAGGATAGAGGACTTTGGTGGCAGTGAATCCACATCACTCGCCAGAATGGCAGACTTGGGAATTAAAAAACGAGACGCACACCAGCTACGCCAGAAGACTTGTTAATCAACATAGAACTGGTACTATTTGCCATCGGACGTTGGGGTTCATACTGAGGGGAGGATCTGAGCACCTATGGACATGTCCGGAGTGCAATGAGGATAACCCAACTAACTAACTAACTAACTAACTAAGTGATTCAAACAGAGGCAAGCAGATAGACAAAAAAGGCAGCAAGCCATCTGTTCACTCTGTAAGCTCAGTCAAGAATGAGTTCTAACTGTCTCTACAGCTAGAGCTGGGAGAGGATTCATCCGCGTCCAAAGCGGTAAATAGGCCAGTGGAATTTGGCTTCACTGTCAATGAATCTCCCACCTATATGGCTGAATTTAAATATATGTCATTCCCAAGAGAATTAGGATAGAATTGAATACTTAACCCATCTTGACACAAAGAAGGATTATTAACCTATGGAGGAAAGTCCCAAGATTTGAAAGTGCCCCATTACATAGAGGTGACAAGATTTGGGCAGGTCCTTGACCAGAGTGGTGTGGGCTGTCATGCGACAACGGTATACTACTTCAAGCAATGATGTACAGGCCGGGCTGTCTGCACCGAAGTCTGCAAGCTTATCAGTAAGAAGTCAGATGAGACAGGTGTGCTGATCTTCACAAACGGGTCTGTTATACAAGGACATAAGAGTGCATGGGCATGTACAGCTCGCTCTTCAGGCAGAACAGTTCAAGAAGTCAGCGATGCCTTCTCCATGATACCAGCAGGTCAGGAGGCACCCCACATTGAAAGGGATTTGAGCAAATAACCACTGGAAAGAAGCTACTATATTAAGATATTAACAATGTATGGGTGAAACAAAAGGATGCAAGCAGAGTGAAATATGTGGTCGGCTGTAAACTTTGGCAGAAAGTTCTGGTTGTTTGTCCATTTTCAGACTTTAGTCTTGTTCCAGAACTTGAGTTTTGCGTGTACATCTGTTTTACAGATCTTGTTTATTTGTATACAGCTTTTGGTTGCTCCCATCTCAGGCAGATGCACTCCAACCCTCAAAGGAAACACCAATCATTGTTCACCTCCTGTGGCATGCTTGTTAGAGGGCACTGGGTTATTTCTTTGTCCCTCCGCCTCACATGGGGTCCTGAAACCCACATAGAGACAGCAGTATCTACCACAGAATTCCTGTTTGACAGTTATTGATATGTGTGTAGTTTTTCAGTGTTTATTCCTCTGAATGTGTGGCTACTGTTATATTTTGTGCAGGTCCTTCAGCCCTTTCTTTCCACTTCTGCAAAGCCACGACACTCCTATACAGTTGTGGGCAGTGTGGGCCATTCACCACGTCTGCTCAAAGAATGGTAAAAGTCAGTTTTTGATTTTTTACTTCAGTGTTGTGTTGTTGAGTAATTAATGATGTACATGATACTGATTGTGTCTCTGTACAGGTTATGTGCCATCTGTTGGAGCACTTGATAAATATATATATATATAAACACACACACATACATGCATATATATATATATATATATATATATATATATATACATACATACATACATACATATATATATATATATATATATATATATATATATATATATATATATATATATATATATATATATATATATATATATATATATATATATATATATATATATTAGGTCTTGGTCAAATATGACTGAGTTATCGTGTAGCCGTAGACGTTACTACTTTAACTTTATTGCTCCTGCATTTTTGGGAAGCGAAACCAACTTGCTGATGTTCCTACATTGTGCAAAAGGCTTTTGAGGAGTCCATTGGAGAGGTTACTAGTCTTATCCTTGTAAGAATTAAGGCAGCCTGAAAAATTAACATTCAGGCCGCGCAGACTAGGCCCTTAGCCATGGTTGGCTGCTTTTCTGGAAGAGACAGATCCACATCTGAAGAGCGGACAGACAAAGCATTGCTCTTCTGATCCAGTAACTTCTACAGAATGCATCAATTCAAATGTATTGGTGTTACTTTCCCTCTGAAGTAAACAAAACTGGCAGAGAGGAGGATCATGCTGGATGGATAACACATGGCCCACTTTTATTTGCTGTGGAGAGGAGGAACTTCATCCTGGGTCTTTATTGGTCTTAGGAACTTTTCACATTTTACTCAGTGCTCAGTCTTCAAAGGCTCAGATAAAGGATAGTTAAATCGTTAGTAACATCCTCTGTGGTGAAATAAAGATTAGAAGTTGACATTGGCCTCAACTGTTATATAAAGATGTGTGTAAGTGGGAAATGAATGGTACAGTCATTGAGGAAGGTTAATGGGAACACAGTGCCATGGACCATATTGCATGGAGGAGGAAAGAATGGAGAAATTGATGATAGGTTAAGACTTGAGTGTCTGAGTAGTATGTTAAATACAAGTGATTATAGGTTAAGACTTGAGGTTCTGAGTAGTATGTTAAATACAAAAGATTATAGGTTAAGACTTGATGGTCTGAGTCGCATGTTAAATACAAGAGATTATCGGTTAAGACTTGATGGTCTGAGCAGTATGTTAAATACAAGAGATTATAGGTTAAGACTTGATGGTCTGAGCAGTATGTTAAATACAAGAGATTATAGGTTAAGACTTGATGGTCTGAGCAGTATGTTAAATACAAGAGATTATAGGTTAAGACTTGATGATCTGAGTAGTATGTTAAATACAAGAGATTGTAGGTTAAGACTTGGACCTCTGAGCAGTATGTTAAATACAAGAGATTATAGGTTAAGACTTGAGAGTCTGAGTAGTATGTTAAATACAAGAGATTATAGGTTAAGACTTGATGGTCTGAGCAGTATGTTAAATACAAGAGATTGTAGGTTAAGACTTAGACCTCTGAGCAGTATGTTAAATACAAGAGATTATAGGTTAAGACTTGAGAGTCTGAGTAGTATGTTAAATACAAGAGATTATAGGTTAAGACTTGAGCGTCTGAGTAGTATGTTAAATACAAGAGATTATAGGTTAAGACTTGATGGTCTGAGCAGTATGTTAAATACAAGAGATTATAGGTTAAGACTTGAGGGTCTGAGTAGTATGTTAAATATAAGAAATTATAGGTTAAGACTTGAGGGTCTGAGTAGTATGTTAAATACAAGAGATTATAGGTTAAGACTTGAGGGTCTGAGTAGTATGTTAAATATAAGAAATTATAGGTTAAGACTTGAGAGTCTGAGTAGTATGTTAAATACAAGAGATTATAGGTTAAGACTTGAGCGTCTGAGTAGTATGTTAAATACAAGAGATTATAGGTTAAGACTTGATGGTCTGAGCAGTATGTTAAATACAAGAGATTATAGGTTAAGACTTGAGCGTCTGAGTAGTATGTTAAATACAAGAGATTATAGGTTAAGACTTGAGGGTCTGAGTAGTATGTTAAATGCAAGAGATTATAGGTTAAGACTTGAGTGTCTGAGTAGTATGTTAAATGCAAGAAATTATAGGTTAAGACTTGGACCTCTGAGTAGTATGTTAAATGCAAGAAATTATAGGTTAAGACTTGAGGGTCTGAGTAGTATGTTAAATACAAGAGATTGTAGGTTAAGACTTGAGGGTCTGAGTAGTATGTTAAATACAAGAGATTGTAGGTTAAGACTTGAGGGTCTGAGTAGTATGTTAAATACAAGAAATTATAGGTTAAGAGTTGGACGTCTGAGTAGCATGTTAAATACAAGAGATTGTAGGTTAAGACTTGAGGGTCTGAGTAGTATGTTAAATGCAAGAAATTATAGGTTAAGACTTGGACGTCTGAGTAGTATGTTAAATACAAGAGATTGTAGGTTAAGACTTGAGGGTCTGAGTAGTATGTTAAATACAAGAAATTATAGGTTAAGAGTTGGACGTCTGAGTAGCATGTTAAATACAAGAGATTGTAGGTTAAGACTTGAGGGTCTGAGTAGTATGTTAAATACAAGAAATTATAGGTTAAGACTTGGACGTCTGAGTAGCATGTTAAATACAAGAGATTGTAGGTTAAGACTTGAGGGTCTGAGTAGTATGTTAAATACAAGAAATTATAGGTTAAGAGTTGGACGTCTGAGTAGCATGTTAAATACAAGAAATTATAGGTTAAGACTTGAGGGTCTGAGTAGTATGTTAAAAACAAGAGATTGTAGGTTAAGACTTGAAGGTCTGAGTAGTATGTTAAATACCAGAGATTATAGGTTAAGACTTGGACGTCTGAGTTGTATGTTAAATACAAGAGATTATAGATTAAGACTTGAGCATCTGAGTTGTATGTTAAATACAAGAGATTATAGATTAAGACTTGAGCATCTGAGTAGCATGTTAAATACACAAGATTATAGGGTAAGACTTAAGGGTCTGAGTAGTATGTTAAATATAAGAGATTATAGGTTAAGACTTGAGGGTCTGAGTAGTATGTTAAATGCAAGAGATTATAGGTTAAGACTTGGACGTCTGAGTAGTATGTTAAATGAAAGAGATTATAGGTTAAGACTTGAGAGTCTGAGTAGTATGTTAAATATAAGAGATTAAAGGTTAAGACTTGAGGGTCTGAGTAGTATGTTAAATGCAAGAGATTATAGGTTAAGACTTGGATGTCTGAGTAGTATGTTAAATGCAAGAGATTATAGGTTAAGACTTGAGGGTCTGAGTAGTATGTTAAATACAAGAGATTATAGGTTAAGACTTGGACATCTGAGTTGTATGTTAAATACAAGAGATTATAGGTTAAGACTTGAGTGTCTGAGTAGTATGTTAAATACAAGTGATTATAGGTTGAGACTTGAGGGTCTGAGTAGTATGTTAAATACAAGAGATTATAGATTAAGACTTGTACGTCTGAGTAGTATGTTAAATGCAAGAGCTTATAGGTTAAGACTTGAGCATCTGAGTAGTATGTTAAATACAAGAGATTATAAGTTAAGACTTGAGGGTCTGTGTAGTATGTTAAATACAAGAGATTATAGGTTAAGACTTGAGAGTCTGAGTAGCATGTTAAATACAAGAAATTATAGGTTTTGATGAGCGTCTGAGTAGTATGTTAAATACAAAAGATTATAGGTTAAGACTTGAGAGTCTGAGTAGCATGTTAAATACAAGAAATTATAGGTTTTGATGAGCGTCTGAGTAGTATGTTAAATACAAGAGATTATAGGTTAAGACTTGAGGGTCTGAGTAGTATGTTAAATATAAGAAATTATAGGTTAAGACTTGAGAGTCTGAGTAGCATGTTAAATACAAGAAATTATAGGTTTTGATGAGCGTCTGAGTAGTATGTTAAATACAAGAGATTATAGGTTAAGACTTGAGGGTCTGAGTAGCATGTTAAATATAAGAGATTATAGGTTAAGACTTGAGCGTCTGAGTAGCATGTTAAATATAAGAAATTATAGGTTAAGACTTGAGCGTCTGAGTAGTATGTTAAATACAAGAGATTATAGGTTAAGACTATTTTAGTAGACCATTTTACCTATCTGGGTTCCACAGTGAATAGTAAACTATTGCTGTACCAAGAAATCATCATCAGGATAGATAAGGCAGCAACAACAATGATCAGATTGACAAAGAGAGTTTGGGAGAACAGAAAGCTCACAATTAAAACAATAACCCTTGTCTATCAAGCTTGTGTTCTCAGCACTCTGCTTTATGGCAGTGAAACTTGGTCAGCCTGTTAGCACCAGGAGAGATGGCGTAATACTTGGCATTAAGTGGCAGGACAAAATCACAAACACCAAGGTACTGGAAAGAGCAGGTACTACAACAGTCTTTTCCATGCTCAGTCTGTGAAGGCTCAGGTGGATGGGTCACATCTGGAGAATGGAGGATGGCAGAGTCCCTAAGGACATCCTTTATGGGTGAATTAAAGTCAGGAAGATTATGTCGAGGCCGACCTCTACTACGATATAAAGATGTGTGCAAGCGGGACATGAATGATACAGGTATTGAGGCTGGCTCATGGGAACAAAATGCCATGGACCGTGTTGTGTGGAAAGAGCATATCAGGAAGGGAATGAGACTGAAGGAAGAAATTATTGCAAAAAGGATGAGAGCTGAGCGTCTGAAAAGAAACGGATTAAAGACAGATGTTGACAACAATGGTCCTGAAATCCCATACTATCATTGCGGAAGACTTTTCTTGACACAGGTGGGTCCTGCTAGTCACACTCGCCATCGCCATGGGCTGTGAGTCTCATGACTCCTCATTGCACAATATAACACTATCATCTGGAAAGATGCCAGTGATAGGTTAAAACTTGAGCGTCTGAGTAGCATGTTAAATGCAAGTGATTATAGGTTAAGACTATGTTAAATACAAGTGGTGGCAACAGTGGTCCTGAAATTTCATGCTCTTATGTTTAAAAGACATAATTTGAGCTGGTCTTGCTTGTCATACTCGCCTTCAACATGATCTGATCTCTATGCTTTCATGTAAAATGACATAACACTATCATTTGTAAAGACAAGAGAGGTGTCGCACATTTGCATATGCATAGAAAGAGGGAGAGCCAGCTGCCGTTTCTGCTGTCATGCATGGTCATCTTCTCTACATCTCGCAGTCTCTAACAAGTTTCAATTCATGTGCGGACATTTCCTTGTCGTAATGTAGGGGCTACAGTGATCTTTACTTGATTTAGTTGCATCATTTTTTAGATGAATCAACATGGAATTTCTACACAGGGTGTGCATGTTTGCTCATACATACACTCAGTTCATACACTACACAGGCAGTTGCATATATTTATGTATACACACACACACAATCTTGCGCGTGAGCGGCACACACGCATGTACACACACACACAAAATAAATTCTCTGTGCTTTTCTAATTGACTCTCCAGACTGTCTGGACTCTCTTTAAATATCACACACACACCATATCTATTCCTTATTATTATATTCTGTATGTTATATATATACATATGCATTCTGAAAATCTATCTGTCTTTCTCTCTCTCTCTCTCTCTCTCTCTCTCTCTCTGCGCACGCGTTTGGGCATCTCTCTCTCTCTCTCTCTGTCTCTCTTTCTTTCTTTCTCTTTCTCTCTTTCTCTCTCTCTCTCTTTCTCTCTCTCTCTCTTTCTCTTTTTCTCTCTCTCTCTCTGTGTCACTGATTCCCAGTGCTTATCTAAATGACTCCTCAGACTCTATCTCTCTTGACTCTTCATTTTATATATTTATAATGAGTCAAGAGAGATAGAGTCTGAGGAGTCAAGTGAGAAGAATAGTTGTTAGTTTGTCACATGTGTATTGTGAAGTGAAACTGTTATCAAATTGTCTCACCAGGCAAACGCTACCTGACACTGCTGGACAGTGAAGGTGGCTACGAGCACATCCATCGTCTCATGATGACCAGTAACCTGGATTCTCGGGTCAAGGACATTTGCCAGGAAATACTGGACAAGCTGGAGGAGCATAAGGGAGGGCCACCCAGATCTTGCACTGACATGGAGATTTAGATGACATATTCCATGTGGCCACCATTTCTTGTACATTTATGTAATTTTCTTTGCCAGTGATTTTACTGAACGCAGGGTTAATTGCTGTATTTATCATTGCCATCCCATCACATCATTGTCTTGCTTCATTGATTCCTTATTCGTTGATTCCTTAGACTTTGGTAAAGCTCATTAGTTACTGTATCTAAGTACAGATTTTGTTATTCTTTGAAGAGGTGACATTTGCGAATATTTATTTGTGAATCGTAAATATAGAGGACGAGGGCGCCATCTTGACAAAGTGGTTAAGCCATTTCCCCTGCGCTGTGAAGGTTGTTAGTTTCTTTTTGGACTGCATTATTCAGTTCACTGGTGTTATGGGTTAAGAACCAACGTAACGTCAGTTGGGACATTCCCATAAATGCACCTTATCCATCTTTAGCACTAAGCGCAGAGTTCCATTTCTGATGGTACCACTAATTGTCTGATTGTTTGTCCGTCTGGCCACTCACCTGAGTGTTTTTGTGCCGGTGGCCAGCAGATTCCCTGGTCACTCCTCGCTGCACCATTCTCTTTATTATCTATTTGTGCCACTGCACCTTTTCAAACTCCTTCACCAAGGACCATTGCAACATGTAGCTTGTCATGTTCGCTGGTATGATTTATATGGAGACCTCTTGGAATCGTCGCTGAGGTTA